GTTTAGCAACAATGCTAGGGCTTAATAGCACCACTTGGGGTGACGGAGGCATGCTGGGAGTTGAAGTTTGCACCTCTGAAGTTCACTGAGATTGGTGACCTCTTTGGCCAACAGGGGGCAGAATTGCATGGATTCCTCAGCTAATCCACAATTATTCACATGTATTTAGCATATGGCATCTAGAGAGGTCAGACAATCACAGACACACAAATTTAGTTTAAATATAGCCCCACCAAATAATAGATAGATAGATAGATAGATAGATAGATAGATAGATAGATAGATAGATAGGAGAGAGATTGGATGGAAGGATAGATAGAGAGATATGTAAGATAGATAGATAGAGAGAGAGATATTGATGGATAGATAGGTAGATATGAAAGATAGGTAGGTATGTAGAGAGATCGATCAATGAGAGATAGATAGATAGATAGATAGATAGATAGATAGATAGGAGAGAGATTGGATGGAAGGATAGATAGAGAGATATGTAAGATAGAGAGAGAGCTTGATGGATAGATAGGTAATGTAAGATAGGTAGATATGTAGAGAGATAAATCGATCAATGATAGATAGATAGATAGATAGATAGATAGATAGATAGATAGGAGAGAGATTGGATGGAAGGATAGAGAGATATGTAAGAGAGAGAGAGAGAGAGAGAGAGAGAGATTGATGGATAGATAGGTAGATATGTAAGATAGGTAGGTATGTAGAGAGATAGATCGATCGATGAGAGATAGATAAATAGATAGATAGATAGATAGATAGATAGATAGATAGATAGATAGACAGACAGACAGACACAGGCAGTCCTCAATTTACGACCACAATTGGCATCTGGCATCCTTCAGTCTCCAAAGACTATGGTATCGTGCTCTGGATAGAGAATTGAGCCCAACGTTTATGTTGCTGAGTGAAAAATTTGCTAAGTGAGTTTTGCCCCATTTTACGACTTTTCTTGCCACAGTTCTTAAGCGAACCACTGCAGCTGTTAAATTAGTGACACCGTTGTTAACGAGAATCCGGCTTCCCCTTTGACTTTGCTTGGCAGGAGGTCACAAAAGCATCTGAATGTAAATCCGGTGACCGTGGGGACGCTGCAACGGTCGTCAGTGTGAAAAACGGCAACTGCAGCGATTCACTTAACAACGGTGGCAAGGAAAGTCGTAAAAATGGGGCAAAACTCCCTTAACACGTGTCTCATTTTTAGCGACATAAATGTTGGGCTCCATTGTGGTCGTAAGTCGAGGACTATCCCAGGCAATATTCTCTCTTAAGAGAGCGGCTAATCGTCTTATACACATGGGGACCAAACTGGGCATTGGATCATCCCACATGATCAAAGTCTACAGAGGCCGCGTTACTTCATCCACAGAAAAATAGTAAAAAAATAGCGAAAAGGAGGAGAAAAAGAAAAAGAAGGTTCTGCTTTTTATTTCAGTGGGAGCCCAGCGAAAACGAAACCTGGCTGTTAGCTTCCTAGCAAATGCCAAGTGATACTGCCTACTTTGCAAGTCAAGACTTCTCTCCATGCCCCCAGGGAGGGTATTTTCCCTGGGTTGAGAAAAGGAACATCATCGCAAGCCCATCCCTCTTAGATCCAGGGAGGATCCTTTACAAGCCTTGCAGAGAAGTTTGCCGGTTCTAGCAAAGAAGGAAAAAAGAGGGAGGTTTGGGGCTCTTGGCAGGGAAGGTGTGTTTGAGGCCAGCCCTGCCTAGTAGACACCCCCTTTGGCCATCCTTTGCTTCACCTGAGCAGGGAGAGACAACGTGGGAATCTCCCTGGAGATTTTCCCGCTGGAGATCCAGCTGCTCCACAGGCCGGGAGCTAAGACAGTTTAAGCTTCCCAACACTGAATCGCTTTAGGGTTTCATCCAAGGGTGAAATCCAGCAGGTTCTGGAGAACCGGTAGCGGAAATTTTGAGTAGTTCGGAGAACCGGCAAATACCACCTCTGGCTGGCCCCAGAGTGGGGTGGGAATGGGGATTTTGCAGTACCCTTCCCCTGGAGTGGGGTGGGAATGGGGATTTTGCAGTATCCTTCCCCTGGAGTGGGGTGGGAATGGGGATTTTGCAGTATCCTTCCCCTGGAATAGGGTTGGAATGGAGATTTTGCAGTATCCTTCCCCTAGAGTCAGATTGGAATGGGGATTTTGCAGTATCTTTCCCCTGGAGTTGGGTGGGAATGGGGATTTTGCAGTATCCTTTCCCTGGAGTGGGGTGGGAATGGGAATTTTGCAGTATCCTTCCCCTGGAGTGGGGTGGGAATGGGGATTTTGCAGTACACTTCCCCTGCCACGCCCACCAAGCCACACCCACAGAACCGGTAGTAAAAAAATTGGTTTCAACCCCATTGGCTATGGTGGCATCACCATCAACCCTTTGGTAAAAGTTGGGATTTACTGGTGATCCCAGGTATACAACAGTTCGTTTAGTGACCGTTCAAAAATTACAACGGCACTGGAAAAAAAATGACTTAAGACTTTTTTTCACACTTATGACTGTTGCAACATCCGCAAGCTCACGTAATCAGAACTTAAGATGCTTGGAAACTGACTCATATTTATGACGGTCGCAGTGTCCGGGGGTGTCATGTGATCCCCTTTTAGACTTTCTGACAAACCATGTCAACGGGGAACCGGATTCACTTAACGACCGGGTGAGTAACATAACAATTACAAGGATTCAGTTAACAATGCGTGCCAAGAAAGGTTGTAAAATAGGACAAAACTCAAACTTAACGAATGTCTCACTTAGCAGCAGAAATTTTGGGCTCGGTTGCGGTCGTTAAGTCGCCTGCACCCTGAATACATTGTAAGAATGGCAAGACTGAAAGAAGTAATAGCGGGAATAAAAAACGGAGGTTGAAACACAAATGGGAATACAGGTAGCCAGGGATGGGATTCAACCGGTTCGTGCTGGATTCGGGCGAACTTGTAGTTGTGACCTGGGTGGGCCTGGCCACACAACACACACACCCAGTGATATACCGTCCTATTTAGCTGCGTTTTTTAAGCAAAACGCATGCACAGAAGGACGTGAGTGCGCGCTCACATTTCCGGTGCTGGGCCGAACCGGTTTTTAAATTATGCGAAGGCCAGCTCTGCAGGTAGACCTGTTGTTAACCTAACAGCTGCAATCATTCTCTTAAGCGTCGTGGCAAAATGAGTTGTTAAGGTGGGGCCAGAGTCACAAATTTCTCGTTTAACGACATAAATTTGGGGCTCCATCATGGTCGTAAACTGAGGGTATGGTTCATAGCACAGTTGGCCAGATGTTCAGAACGGATTTGGTATTTCTCTGCCTACCTATCGAGCCCTCCCCAAGGACTTAAGATAGGCAGATGTTGGTGTGCTATGGCCTGAGACTGAGGTATCGTTGTCGGATGGGAGCTGCTCCAAGCAAACCAACCGTTGTAAATCGAGGACTGCCTGTGGCTGTGAGAAACCCACTAGAACCACAATTCTTCTTAGATCCCCTGCAGTCACTTTCATCCTTGTTCACTCCTACGCCCTGAAGGTGGGGGATTGATGAAGGGGGGACCCCCTTTTCAGGGTCTTTCAAGGAATAGCTTTCCTCACCGAATTGCTTTCTCTCTCGGCCTGTAAGTCCTTGACTTACAACAGTTCATTTAATGACCGTTTGGTGTTACAACGGCACTGAAAAAAGGGACCAATGACCGTTTTTCACACTTACGACCATTGCAGCATCCCCATGGTCAAGTAACATCGAAGCGCTTGGCCACTGACTCATATAATATGACGGCCGCCGTGTCCCGGGGCCAGGTGCTCTCCATTTGCCACCTTCTGACAAGCCAAGTCAATAGGGGAAGCCAGATTCACTTACGAACAGTGAATTAAGCAGTGATTCACTTAACAACTGCGGCAAGAAAGGTGGCAAAACGGGGCCAAACTCATTTCAGAAGTGTCTCACTTAGCAACATAAATTTGGGGCTCCCTTGTGGTCGTACGTCGAGGACTACCTGTACATACACACATGTCTCACTCAGCAACATAAATTTGGGGCTCCATTGTGGTCATAAGTTGAGGACTACCTGTAAACACAAACACACACACGTCTCACTTAGCAGCATAAATTTGGGGCTCCATTGTGGTCATAAGTTGAAGACTACCTCAACTTACACAACTAACACAAACATACACGTCTTACTTAACAACATAAAATTTGGGGCTCCCTTGTGGTTGTACATCGAGGACTACCTGTACATATACACACACGTCTCACTCAGCAATATAAATTTAGGGCTCCATTGTGGTCATAAGTTGAGGACTACCTGTACATACAGATGCGTCTCACTCAGCAACATAAATTTGGGGTTCCCTAGTGGTCATAAGTTGAGGACTACCTGTAAACAGAAACACACACGTCTCACTTAGCAACATAAATCTGGGGCTCCATACTTGTTGTAAGTCGAGGACTACCTGTACCTACATACACACACACACATGTCTCACTTAGCAGCATAAATCTGAGGCTCCATACTTGTTGTAAATCGAGGTCTGTCTACACACACAAAAACAACCACAACCACAAACACACAAAGAGCGGCTCACAAAGCAGCCTCCCTCCCTCCCTCCCTCCTCCGCAGCGGGCGCGCAAGAGTTAACCGCACCCGCAGGGGGGCGTGGCCTCGGCGAGGGGGGGCGGAGCCAGCGGAGGGAGGGAGGAGAGGCCGGCCCGGCGGCTTGACAGGTGACGCATGCGCGCTGCCGCCTCATTGTGCCCGGCCGGCCCAACCCCGCCGCGCCTCAGTCGGCGAGCGAGCGTTGGCGGGGGAGGCCGCCATCGCCGCCGCTCGTGCTGCCGCCGCCGCCGCCGCTTCCTCGCTCCCCTCACGGGCCTTCCGTCCTCTCGCTTTGGCCGCCATGGAATAACTAAGGCCGAGGGAGGGGGGGGGCTGTTGGCAGGCAGGCCGGCCGGCCGGGGAGGCCCCGCCGCGCCCCGATGGCTCTGGTGACGGTGCAGCGCTCGCCTACCCCCAGCGCCACCTCCAGCCCCTGCGCCTCGGTGAGTGGCTCTCGGCGGGAGGGGAAATCGCGCCCGTTGCTGCTGCCGCTGCCGCCGCCGCGGTCGAGAGGGGCGGCTTCTGCGCAGGCGCGGCGCGCGCGCTCGCCTCTCTCTCACTCTCTCCCTCCCTCCCTCCCCGCCCCGCTCGTGTGTCTTTTTCGGTATTTTGTCCTCCTCCCGCCACCGTCCTCCCCCCCACCACTCCCTCCTGCTTGACAGCTGCAGCCCATTCATTCTTTCGAGGCTGCTGCTTCCATTCATTCATTCATTCCCTCCCTCCCTCCTTTCTTTTTCCTTCCCCCGCTTCCAAAATGGAGGCTGAGGCTGGGAGGGGGCGCCTCGGGGTGACCCTTGGCGGTGGATGCCCTTCAGCCCCAGGCTTGGTTGGCAAACCCCCCCCCAGTCTCTCTCTCTCTCCAGCTACGCACCCCAGAGGTGTGCTTGTGTGTCTTTGTGTGTCTTTGTGTATGTTTTATAGGGCTGGGGCCTGTAAAAGGGGTGGGGGGAACCCACAACTCATACTCTTGGCTCCCTGGCTTGCTTTCCTGCTGAAAAAGTCCCGTTTAGGAGCTTTTTTTTAAAAAAAAATGAAAAATGGATTCACGAAATGCGATTTGTGATGGTACAGGTAGTCCTCGACCTTCCGACAGTTCGTTTAGTGACCGTCTGAAGTTACAACGGCGAGTGAAAAAAAAAAGCGACTTGGGTGACTCACCCTGACAACTGGTTTGCAGTCATGGGATCCAAATTTGGATGCTGGGCGACGGGTTCATATTTATGACGGTCGTAGCGTCCCGGTGGAGGGGGGTGTCACACGATCGCCAGGATCACGTGGTCACATTTTGCGACCTTCTGACGAGCAAAGTCAGTGAGGGAAGACAGATTCACTTAACAACCGGGTTACTACTGTACAGCAGTGACTCACTTAACAAATGTGACAAGAAGAGTTGTAACTCACTTAACAAATTTCTCGGTTAACAACCTCAATTCTGGGCTCAGTTGTGGGTCGTACGTCGAGGACTACCTGTATCTTATGATTTATGATCTGTGACCTATCACTTTTGTTGCTTGTATGTGCACTGAGAGCCTATGCACCGGAGACAAATTCCTTGTGTGTCCAATATCATACTTGGTCAATAAAGAATATTCCTATTTTGTTTTAACAAAATAAAAAAAAAAACCTCGGGGAGTTTGGGTTGCAGAGAGAGAGAGAGGGTTTTTTGTCTTCGGTCTGTTGGGTGGAGAGAAGGAGCCGGGTTTCTGAGGGACGTACAGAGCAGCAGCTGCATAGGAAATGCCCCATTTCCCTTTCCTCCCTGCTTTGGAAAAAGATTCAGCCCGGTTGGAAGGCAGGGAGTGAGGAACTGAAGGGGTGTTTAAAGAGCTCCCTGAGGAGGGGTGCCTGGCTGAAGTTTTCTGGGGCTGCGTGCTAAGCAAGCAATGGGCCTCATCCCTTGGATATGGCACCACCAGGAGTGAAGGCTAGACTGGAAGTTATTATTTTATTTGTATCCTGCCTGTGTCATTTTTACAAGAGTTGAAGGCGGTGAACGTACGTAGCACACATTCGTCTTCCTGTTTTCCCCTCTGAAGTCTGTTGGGCTGACAGAGAGTGACTGGCTCAAGTCACCGAGCCAGATCTTATGCCTGAGGCAGGACTAGAACTCACCGTCTCCTGGTGATTGACTCAATCAACCGGCTTTCCTGTCTAAGGCGGGACTAGAACTCACTGTTGTTCTGCTGATTGTGTCACAGGGTGGGATTAGAATTCCCGGTCGCCTGGTGATTGGCCCGAAGTCGCCCAGCCACTTTCATGGCTAAAATGGGAGTAGAACTCACCATCTCCTGGTGATTGACTCAAAGTCAACCAAACAGCTTCCATGCCTACGGTCGGACTAGAACTCACTGTTGCCTGGTGTTTGGTCCAGTCACCCAACCTGCTTCCATGCCTAAGGTGGGACTACAACTCATTGTCATCTGGTGTTTGGCCCAAAGTCACCCAGCCTGCTTCCATGCCTACGGTCGGACTAGAACTCACCATCTCCCAGTTTCCTTGCTCTCCAGTTGGAAATAGCACCCAAGGAGAACTTAGTGGGTAAACCCTTGGCAGGCTCTACAGTTGCTAAGAAGGCCACCTGGGTGTCATCGGGAGTTGCCCTAGGCTTAGAACAGTGTTTCTCAACCTTGGTAGCTTGAAGATGGGTGGACTTCAACTCCCAGAATCCCCCAGCCAGCGCTGCTGACTGGGGGATTCTAGGAGTTGAAGTCCACCCATCTTCAAGCTACCAAGGTTGAGAAACACTGGCTTAGAGGGACCCGTTGTCAGCGCTTCGACACTGGCATAGAGAGCAGAGGAGAGAGAGAGAGATAAGCTCTGAACTTTTGCCTGCTGAATCCCTTTGAAGTCGGGTTGTCGTGGAAATGACGGGGGGAGACATTCCTGGGAAATGACGAGACAAGAAGTCTGAAGAATGACTTGGAAGAGAGCCAATGAGAAGCAGAGATTTGGGGATCGGAAAGGGAGGGATTGGGGGCAAAAGGTCAGTCTTGTCCGCATCGAGTCATGATCCGGTGGCTGTGCTCAATTAAAGAAAAGATTTCCTTAAAAGATTGGCAGTTTGGAAATTCATTTATTTTGAGATAGCATCGACGTCTGACACCCGTTCTCATTTTTCTAAGCTCTTAAAAAAAGACACACGCTTCAACAAAATATCACAAGAAACGTTTGCTTCTTTTCGAGGAGATGTCAGGCTGGACCACGCCATGCAAATGAATGAATAAACGCCACAGGAACAGAAGGCTTAACAAATAAGGGTGGTGGAAGCTGCTAAATATTTATTTAACCGCATTTGCACACCACCTCTGCGCGGCTGAGCGTGTTGTCTACACAAGCAAATAAACTAAAATCAGTAGCAAGACAAAAAAAACAGGAACCGGTGATTGCCGGTAATCACTGCTAAGCGAAGTCCCTGCTAAAGAGGAATCTTTTTAACATTTTGAATACGGTGCACGACAATATGTGGCATTAAGCTTTCCAAGTTTAGATGGTAAAGAAGAGGATGTATCTCTTGCTAATTTTGTTTTTCCTCCATAGTGTTAACTGCCAGCTTGCACCTGGAGAGCTGTCTCTTGCTGTAGGGTGTATCTGTGTCGCTATTTTGCAGTGCTCTGTAATCTAAAAGCTGCTGGGTTTCTGGTTTTTTTTTTTAGGTGGTGCTAGCAAGAATAAGCCCTAGTAGAAAAGGAACAGAGAATAGCATGTTAACCGTGTGCTTCTGCAGCATTTCCTCAACAGGATCTTGTTCAGTTGAATAGGGACTATTTTTCTGCAAAGCTCCTTCAGGTTTTAATTATGTATTTATTTATTTATTGGTTCGATTTATATGCCGCCCTTCTTCGGAGACTCAGGGTGGCTTACAATGCTCTTAAGCAATAGCCTTCATACTTTGGTATATACCTGCTTAGTAGGGCTTTCGGGTCCCCCCCAAGCGGTGTTCTTTTTTTTATACAAAGTCAGCTTATTGCCCCCACAAACCAGGTCCTCATTTTACCCACCTTGGAAGGATGGAAGGCTGAGTCAACCTTGAGCCTGGTGAGATTCGAACTTGCAGTAATTGCAGGCAGCTGGTGTCACTTAACACCACTTTAATCTGCTGCGCCACCAAGGCTCTATTGGAATTGGAATACTTAGAATTAGAATGGGAATTAGAATTATTAGAATTAGAATAATTGGAATTAGAATTAGAATTGGAGTTAGAGTTAGAAGAATTAGAATAATTAAAATTAGAATTGGAATTGGAGTTAGAATTATTAGAATTAGAATAGAGCTGGAAGGGACCTTGGAGGTCTTCTAGTCCAACCCCCTGCTCAAGCAGGAGACCCTATACCCGTGATGGCGAACCTATGCCACGCAGAGCCTTCTCAGCCGGCTAATTTTCGGATTTCCGGGGCGCGCATGCATGCCAGCCAGTTGGTCATTGGGTTTCTGGTGCTCTTGCGCACACCTTCCGGTTTGGGCACTCTGTGCCGAAAAGATTTGCCATCACTGCCCTAGACCATTTCAGGCAGGTGGCTGTCCAGTCTCTTCTTAAAAACCTCCAGTGATGGAGCACCCACAACTTCTGGTGGCAGGTTGTTCCACTGCTTAATTGTTAAGGAAATTCCTCCTTCGTTCCAGGTTCTCTCCTTGATAAGTTTCCATCTGTTTTTTCTTGTCCTTCCTTCAAGGTGCTTTGGAGAAGAGGTGGACCCCCAACTCCTCTTTGGGGCAGCCCTCTCAAATACTGGAATTCTGCTGTCACGTCGCCCCCAAGTCCTTCTTTTCTCTAGACTGGCCAAACCCAAATCCTGCAATTCTGTTCTTCCTATGTTTTAGTCTCCAGGCCTATAAATCATCTCAGTTGCTCTTCTCTGCACTTCTTCCAAAGTCTCAACATCTTTTTTTGTAATGCGGTGACCAAAACGGGATGTGGGATTCAAGGTGTAGCTTTGAAAAATAAGTTGACCCCCAACTCTTCTTTGTGGCAGCCCCCCAAATACTGGAAGACTGGTCTCATGTCCCCCCTATTCCTCCTTTGCATTAAACTAGACATCCCCCCTTCCTGCAACGGTTCTTCGTATGTTTTTGTCTCCATATGTTTTAATCATTTCAGTTGCTCTTCTCTGCGTTCGATCCAAGGTCCTTGGTAGTACAGTGGTCTAAAGCACCCTGTTATTAACACAGCTGCCTGCAATTACTGCAGGTTCGAATCTCGCTAGGCTCAAGGTTGACTCAGCCTTCCATCCTTTCTAAGGTAGGTAAAATGAGAACCTGGTTTGCAGGGGCAATAAGCTGACTTTGTATAAATATACAAAAGTATGAAGGCTGTTGCTTAACGCATTGTAAGCCGCCCTGAGTCTCCGGAGAAGGGCGGCATATAAATCAAATTAAAAAAAAAAAAAAGGTCATTCAGCCTCCGCTACTTGCCCCCAATTTGCCTTTTTCCGTGTTACAGTTTTTCGGCTGTTTGTCTTGGTGGAAAAACTTGCATTCGAGGCCCGTGCCTCAGCTCTCGCCAGAAGAAATTC